TTAAGTTTTTAAAATGTCATGGAAATAGGGGGTGTTACAGTGCAAAACCCTAGGTAGATGCTCAATGATTGGTTGAGGGCAAAAGGGTAATTTTAGCGTGTTCTCTAAAGTATCAGACAAAGCTTTGTGGTTCACCTTGTATCATGGACCCAGGTCTAAAAAGGTAGTTTTAAATAGTTTGGAGTCCAAAATAGATTTTCCTAAAAATACTTTCTAGACAACCACTTAGTTTAGGTTCCTCATATTTCTCCCGGTTTCACTCAGATTGACTTTTAGTTCAAAAACTTGGTATGTAATGTACCCGAGAATTTAGGATTTTATATTTAAAGTAAGTCCCGGTGTTGAATTTATTTAAAAGTGGCTCAAAATACTTTATTCAAACACCGATTTTATCGCAAAAATTTTGATAGAGTGAAAAATGACTATTTTGGAATTTCTTAAAACCGAATTTAGAAAATTAAATTTTTTTTGGGTTGTCACGGGAAGTGATCAGGATCTTATGACTCATTTGATAAAAGAGTTATCTACTGCATTTAAGATTAGGGATCTTGGTGAACCTGGTTTCTTTCTTGGGATTAAAACAACTAAATGTGATGATTGTATTTTACTTTCGCAATAGAGATATATGAATGATATTTTAAAACATGCTGGAATGGTTGAATGTAAAGCATTGTCTACTCCTATCTCTGTTTCGAAATCTATACCCTTCAGTGCAGAGTCATATGAGGATCCTACATAGTACAAAAGTCTGACAGGAGCACTATAGTATCTAACTATCACACGCCTAGATCTATCATTCGCAGTCAATCAATTGTGTCAACACATGCATGCTCCTACAATATCACATTGGGAACACCTAAAGAGAATCTTGAGGTATGTAAAGGGAATAGTTGATTTTGGTTTACGAATGAAAAAGTCAACATCAAGAGAACTCCATGCGTTTTCTTATTCTCACTGGGATGGATATCTTGAAGACCGTAAGTCCATGAGTGGTTTTGCTGTGTTTCTTAGATCCAACCTTATCTCTTGGGTCTATAAGAAACAAAAAATTGTTGCTAGATCTTCTACTAAGGCATAATACAAAGCTCTAGCAGATGTCTGTGCCGAAGTTACGTGGATAGTCTCCTTCTTGCGTGAGATTAAAGTGTCAGGTATATCTGTTCCAAAATTATGGTGTGATAATCTTGGTGCTACTTATATTTGTGCAGATCTCATCTTCCATACTCGTACCAAGCACGTGGAAATTGATTATCACTTCGTTCGAGATAAAGTTGCTTCTGGAGACATTCAAGTTAATTTAATCTCCACAAAAGATCAACTTGCAGACATAATTACTAAAGCTTTACCTAGTCCTAGATTTTTTTTTTTCTTAGAGACAAGCTATAGGTTACTAGTATATATACCATGTGCTTGAGGGGGAGTATTAGGACTAGTATTATGACTCTTTGTATTTGAGTCACATTATGACTCCCTATCCTAGTATTCCTATGATTTTCTCTTATATATATTCCCCCAATCTATACAATTGTAATTACATTCATTCAATACAATTCTATCCGTTCTCATCGAAATGATTCAAGCCATTCATAAGTTATTTGGACTCAATTCAATGAACAAATTCGGTGAATATTCAAATCCAATTTGGTAACAGTTGTTAATTAATTTGAGTAACAAATTTGAACCTATTAATACTCATCTCTAGTGGCTTGGAGTGTGTGTGTCTGTGTATATATATATATATATATATATATATATATATATATATATATATGGGCACACTCTCATGCGAACGGCCGTCCAGGAGAGAACTGAGAATCATCCAGCGCGTGTTACGTGTCCTTTGGTGCATGTAAATGTGTTATATGTGTAAGTATTTGGTGCAGCTTTGCATGTAAAACGTGCAGGTAAAATCACTTACAAGTGCACCTACTTTCACCTACAAGTGCATGTAATTTTACCCTATTAACATTCATTGATCTAAGTTCGTTCTGTTTGGCATCGCTTTTGTTCTTGCGGAGGAGTTCAACGGGTAGTTAGTACCCGTGAAAACCACCCGCAAACATTCATGCACCTAGGTGCACCTACTTATAACTATAGGTGCACCTACCTATTCCAATATATATATATATATATATATATATATATATATATATATATATATATATATATACTCAAATGAGGATACACCTTAAAAAGATGACGGTTAGGACTAATCTGGGCCATATAATTTCGAGGCATGGATGGCTGCGATTAGATGGACAAAATAGATTATTTAAATAGTGATTTAATTTAAAGGGTATCATAATAAATTTATATGTGAATTAAGTATGCACGGTAATTTTTTTGAAAATAAAGAAGCTCATTTATTTGATCATAAGCGATTATAAATAGGATCAATGGAACAGTATACCATTCCTTACAAATTTGAAGCTGAATTATTAGATGAACTTAACGCTTCTTTAATATCATTGAAGAATTGATCAAATGTTGTCAAGACTGATTTTGGTTGAAAAATCTTGCACACCACCAGAGTATATGTTTTCCATCTGTCGTTCATTGACAATATATCCATCGAGTTGAGCTGCAAATGCTCTTTTTCATTGTCATCTATGTCACCCAGGATGAAGTTCACATACGCCATGACCAACTTATATGTTTCACACTTATGAAGAAAAGAACTCGCCAAAAGAAACGAGAGGAAAACAAACTCGTCACACAAACGAGAGAAAAACACAGAAGAAACCAGAACACAAAAGAAAAGAGAAGCAGCAATACACCTCTTGAGTTTTATTTTACGGATCCACTAGATTCAAACCACCTCTTTATCCAGATATGGCGGAATCCTTAAACTTTAGATCTTTGGAATTATCGCAACTTCCTTGAAGGGTTGGTGGCTAAATCAGCGGTGGAATTTATTATGAAACTAAAAAAAAAAATCAAAAGAAAATAAGAGACCGCTGACAAAAAATCGAAGCTCCGTCAAAGGCTCAAAGCTCCGGCCAGAGGCCAGCGGTCCCGAGATGAAGAAGCGCCCAAAAAAGAAGTAAGGTTTCGTAATTATGCACGGTAGTTGGTTAGGAAAATCATGCATAATTTTAGCAAGAAATATTTATGCTAGTCTAGGATTCTCCCAACCATGTCCACGATCCACCATCAGCAAATCAATAACAGAGAGAGTGCATCATCATCATCATCATCATCATCTTCTTCTTCTTCTTCTTATTTCTGATCAACAACTTTGTAGTTAGGTCGCGTAGATCTGACAATAATGTAAGAACAATTTTGTCCGATAAAAAAATAATAATACGTAGTAGTACAATATTTGTAAAGTAATGTATGATTGTACCATTATAGAAACACATACAAAAAATATTAATACCATAATGACCTAGCAAAAATATAATTGAAATATAGAGTCTTGTTTTAAATAATCAAAAGAAGATTAATTAAAAAAAAAAAAAAAAAAAACTTAACCTAAATTTGTTTGTTTGTTTTTTTTTTTTAATGCAAGAAAATAATTTTCAAGGTTCCTGATTTATAATCTTTGATTCTCAACTTTGAATACTATGTATTTAGTCGAGTTAATTATTTGACCAAAGTTTATGTTTAATTTTATATTGTGTCTTTTTAATACATTTTAACATATTCGTAGTATATGTTTAACAATTATGTCAACTCCGATTGGGATGTAGTTCGAACCTACGACACTTCTTATAGAAATTAATAAGTTAAGAATAATAAATAGTTAATAGAATATTTCGTTACTAATGTTTATACTAACAGAATGCGGGGTTATTTAAGGAAAGAAAATAATATAATAGAGAGTAAGGAAGGAAAATACTAAAATCAAAATAATATGAATTTTTCATTTCAACAAACAATCACACCCAACATTTTTTAATTCCCGTTAGGGGCATAACTTTATTGGCTCTTATTAGATTTGTATTGTAGATTTGTAAATATTTATTATTATATTATGGAATAAGGGTCAAATAGGTCATCGAACTGCACCTGATAATACAATTAGGCCACTGAACCCAAAAAATCAACAATTGAGTCCCTAAACTAACCTATTCCTAACAATTCATCCAATGTGAAGGTTTCTAACAGGTCAACAACCAAATTAATTATTTTTTAAAAAATAAAATTTAAAAATTAATTATATATATATAAAAAAAAAAAAAAAAACAGAAACGGCCGGAGACTTCGTCTCTGGCCATGGGGACGAAGAAGGTTTCTTCGTCCCCATGGCTGGAGACGAAGAAACTCTTCGTCTCCGGCCGTGGAGACGAAGAAGTTTCTTCGTCTCCGGCCGTTTCTGCTTTTTTATTTTTTTTTTTAAATTACTTAAATAATTAATTTTTAAATTTATTTTTTAAAAAATAATTAATTTGGGAGGATGACCTGTTTAACCTGTTGGAAACCTACAAATTGGAAGATTTGTTTGAAATTGGTTAGTTTAGGGACCCGATTGTTGATTTTTTAGGTTCAGTGGCCTAATTGCATTATCTTGTACAGTTCGATGACCTATTTGACCCTTATTTCATATATTATTAGAGTTAATACCTATTTTGGTCTCTCGATTATTAGATAATGCGCAATTTAGTCCCAACCTATTAAAAGTACCCAATTTAGTCCTCCAACTTGAGAAATCATACCCAATTTGGTCCTCCGTTACAATTACCATCCATCCACCGTTATAGAGAGGGACAAAAACATGTTTTTTTTTTAGCTAATAATCGAGAGACCAAAATGAGTATTAACTCTAAATTATTTTTACTAGATATGTAGACATTTGATATTCATAATTTCATATGTCGTTATCTTAAAAAAAAAAAAAAAAAAAAAAAAAAAAAAAAAAAGAAAAAATTTCATGTCCTTTTGTAGGGGTAGGTTTGTCATAGCAAAACAAGTGATGCTCGTATTCGTTGGCACGTGCATAACACTCGCCCCCAAAAATAGATTTATTAAGGAGTACAGTATATTACAGGTTCTGAAATATCTAGTCATTAGAACACAGGGAGGGAGGTATCTTCCGCAAACCGCAATGGCCTCCAAGACCGTGCTCAGAGCTGCTGTCTTCATAGCAGAGCCATGGCGACCTCTGCCTAGAAAGACACCCCCCTTCTCCGCGCCCTTTTTTTTGACCCAAAACCTCTCACCGCCCCATTTGCGTTGTGGTTGTAAGCTCATAAAGGCCCCAAAGTATTATACGAGGTTCCCAAGAAGAACTCAGCCTCTGAATTGCTCCAATAATGAAACCCCATCGTCATCTCCCGAAGATTTTGAGCAAAATCCTCCTCAAGAAGCAGTTCTCAAGGCGATTTCAGGTCTATATAGTTGAAATTTCCAGTTTTCTTTCTGCATTTCTTTAATCATTCATATAATTGCTTGGATTTTGGTAATGTGGATTAACTAAGTTCATTCTGTGATTTGTTTATTTTTTTATTTTTTAAATTTGAATTGTTCTGTGTGTAAAAATCAACAAAGAATACAACTTTTTTTAGTAGAAACCAAAGTATGATGCCATTTTTGCTGGTCTTTCATTTCTAGTTAGTTTATTCCATATTGTGATGAACCTATGATGGGCCATGTTACTGAATACTAATCTAGAGAAGCCTATTTGGGGTAGGTTAATTAGTGAGAGGGAACAAGGAGTATGGAAATTGATTAAAGATTTTAGCTTCTGCATTAATTAACTTAAGTGAATTGAACACACTGATTATTGTGGGTGTTGCAGAAGTGTCCAAGACAGAAGGGAGGGTTGGCCAGACTACGAATATGGTTATTGGAGGCACTACGCATGATGATTCCACCAATGAATGGCTTGCTTTGGATAAGAAGGTATGCTTTCTTATCTAACTGCACATCTAATTTTACAGACTACACAGTTTAAATGGTTGAGATTATCAAAATTGCAAGTGTATTGCAATGTATTAGTTTGAAAATAATTAAGGAGACACAATTGTACTCCCCGTTAGAATCCCTCTTGCCCCTAGACTAAGCTGATAATTTACTTAAAATTTTGCCGACTTCCCTTCTAAGAGAAGCTGTTATTTATCGTCTATAATAATATAAAAAAAGGCAACAATGAATCAATCAGTAATTTATTGATTTTAGCTCCCAAAATCATGCAATTTGGATCCATTGATTATTTCCCTATCATTGCCATCCCCTAGAAAATTAGCCTTGTCCACAATGCTAGAGGCTGAAAGCTGGTCTTTGATTGAGCAATGATATGAAGTGTCAGCTTCTATTGCCTCCAACTCTCCCTCGATGCCGTTGTCCTCATTTTTTACTGCAATTATGGCCTTAAACACTTGTTTGGACAGTTGTGCATCAGGTTGTATGGCTGCTTACATCTAAAGCAAAGACCTTTAGCATTGCAGTCTAAATATTCCTAGTGTTAGTACTGGCGGGTGCCCCTTTGCCTAGCTGTAGTGTTATGGGTGGCAGACATTGCTTGGTGCTGAAAAGCTGTGGTGCTATTACCTATATCATAAACTTGTAGTGGACTGCTTCTTCTTTGGGGTGGGAAATCATGCTGTTGGCGGGATTAAGGTGATCCACGCGTGCTTGGCTTACAAGCCCAGGGGTCCAACCCAATTCATAGCCTGTGGTCCACCTTTTAAATGCTCTGTCAACCATAGGTTTCCTGTGAGTTACACACTCCAATTCCCGTTTCGCTGTATGTGCATCCTTCATGGCAGTTTGCAGGTCAAGCATGTTATTTGGGCGGAATTGCACATGAATTTCTTCCTTCAGTCCTTTGAGGTATAGTCCCAACTAATGTTAGGTGCAAGGCCAGAAATCTGTTCTGCTCGTGCCCAGAACTCGTTTGTAAAATTCTCCACTGTTTCCAGTTGGTGGAGAGCTGCCATTTGCTTGATTGGAGGGGCGGATGAATCGCTGCCGAATTGGTCCTTGAGTTCTATTTTTAATTGCCCCCTAGTTAGTGTAAGAGTTTGCTGTTGCATTCATCTAAGTGAATGGAGTGTTGTCCCCCTTCATGCTCATAAAAGTTGTTGACACTTTTAGACGTCTTGTGTTTCTTGGATCGCAAATTATTGCTCTGCCCTAGCAATCTAGCCGATTGAATTGGTACCATCAAAATTTGCAATCTTGATGTTCTTGGCAGTTAGCTGTAATTCGTCCAGGGTCATCATGTGACTTGGAGTCTTGTTCATTGTCGATTTCTCCAATGGAGACTCTTCGTCAATGGTTGTCTTGTTGACGCCTCTTGTCTTAGCTTGTGATTTGTTTTGCAGTGAAAGAGTGACCAAATTGGTGAGGCAAGTAGTGACCTCTACTACTAATAAGAATAATAATAATGATAATCTAAATTCTAGAAATCTTATAAGAGGGGATCCAGGTTAGTACCTTGATATATGTCCATATTTCTATGCTTATTTAGTTGTAGATTAAGCTACACCATATTGTACTATCATTTTTATGGACAAAATTATCCTTATACCGTTAAACTTCCATTAGTATATATTAAATGCTACAGTAATCATATTTAATCATTTACCATATTTAAAATTCTTTAACAATTATAAATCATACCTTTTTACCCAAATTATCAACTATACTTTTTAATATAATATGAATATGAATATGAATATGAATATGAATTCTACAATTATGAATTTTATGACTTTTTTAATTTATATATTATATATTATTATTTTTTTAAAAATATTTCAATATAACTATTATTTAACATTGATTGGCATTTATTTTTTTTGAAAGGATTGGCATTTATTTTTGTGCATCGTGTTTAGAAAAGACTAGTAATAACAATAAAAAATAAATAAATAAGTAAACAAATAAATAAACAAATTTATTGCAAGGAAAAGAAAATAATTAAGGAGACACAATTGTACTCCCCTTGCAAGAATCCTTCTTGCCACCCCCCACCTTCTTCCCCCTCCCCCTCCCCCTCCTCCCCAGCTAAGGTAATAATTCAATAATAAATCCTGCCTACTTTCCTTCTAAGGGAAGCTGTTATTTATAGTCTTATAAAGTTTTTTTTTTTTTTTTTTTTTTTAAGGAAATAATAAGATAACCACTCAATCAAGGTTAACCAATCAATATGTAAATCCTTATTTTAGCTCCCAAAATTATGCTATTTGGATCCCTTGATTATTTCCCTATCAATTAAGGACCAATTTATCTCCTAGATGTAAAGCATGAGTTTTGGTTAGATCAAGTCACGTAGTTTGAGGTTCTGTCCGTTTGGAAACTGTTATCAAGTTTCAAGCATGTTCAACCCCCACTGAGATTATGATCTTCTTTTTTCTCTTCTCAGGTGAATTCCTACCCAACCGAAAGAGGGTTTACAGCTATTGGTACTGGAGGTGATGATTTTGTGCAGGCTATGGTAGTTGCTGTAGAATCAGTTATTCAACAGCCTATCCCTCAGGTAGTGCATATTTTTATGCGAATTATGTCTCAAAAAAATAATTTTTACGTGATTAGAGCAAGGGTGAAGGTTAGAGCAACAGCCTATCCCTCAGCCTACTCTTTTCGTGTGCTCATAGTTATAAGCGTTGTCCGCCTTTCTTGCTACAAAGACTACACTGCTCTGCATTTCATTTTTTTAAAAAAATTGTTTTATGTTTGCATACTTCAATGATATTAGGTTGTAACTGACAACTAAAGGCAACAATCTAAATCCTATTACTTGATCTTAGAAGTGATTTCAACAATCATTAATGTTTAATATGCACTTCTGAGATTAAACAGTTGATGGATTTACCAGTGCCTACGCCTACGATCCCCTACATTCCATATGTGCACCTTAAAATATGATAAGATGTATACATTATGTCATTAAGTCGAATAGTCGATATGAAAGCTGATTGGTAGTATTATTTGAATAGTTTGTTGCATTCAACTTGTTACAAGAGTCTTTTTTTTAGTGGTGCTAGAAAAGTAGGAAGTTCCAAGCTTAGGGTCCGTTTGAAAACCCAGAAAGGAAGTCATTTTCTTGAATCCTGATTTTCATGTGTTTGGTTATTCATTGAAAATAAAGTCAAAGGAAAATATTTATTCTGGTCAACAGAAAAAAGGTCCAATTTGACGAAAAATGTATTCCTAAATTTTTAGTCGGAAGAGATTTTCTGGATTCTTTATTTTCCCATGTTTATCTTCTTTCTCATTTTTTTTTTATAGTTTCCAAATTATTATTAGTTATTACCACAACCAAACCACTAGAACCACAAGCACCACCACAACCACAACCACAACTACTACTGCCAACAACCACCAGTCCACCACCACCACCACAACTACCACACCACCACGGCACCACCACCACCACCACCACTACTACTACCACCACGCCATCATCACCAACACCATCACCACACCACCACCACCACCACCGCTTATTATTATTATTATTATTATTTTTTTTTTTAATAACAAATAATATGTTCATTTTCAAGAAAATGAACCAAACAGAAAAATGCAATTTCTAAACTTTCAGCCAAACAGAAAAATATAGTTTTATGACTTTTAGCCAAACATTAGAATATTATAAATTATTTTCTGGAAAATGAGTCATTTTTTGAAAATCATTTTCCGGAAAGTATTTTTTCAAGTTTCCAAACGGACCCTTAATGAGTGGTCCATTTCCCTTTTAAAAATGAATGGTTGGAAAATGACTTTTGTTGCAAGCATGTGAGATGCGATTGTTTGTTTGCGCTAGTGGAGATGGCTACACGAAGGCGCTTTTTTGTAGGTATGCGCAATAACAAATTCTGAGGCTTTAAGAGTATCATAAAATGGGTGTTTTGCAGAAAACATGCAGTGTTCACTGTTTACTTGCTCAAACATTCTGGCAATCCTGCTTCTTTCCCTTTACACAACTTCAGTTTTATTTAGAAAAATCCATTTTCTAGTTTATGTGGACTTTAAATAACCCACAAGCTTCAATGTCTTATTCACCTGAATGACTCAATATTGTACCAGTAATAACTACTAAAGATTTTTGCATATCAGTCTGCATCTAAGAGGATAGCTAATTGCCTCTTTTAAAATGTATAGTAAGTGAAATTCAAGGTGCCAAAGACAATTGCAATGCTAATTGTAAAAAAAACTACATGTTTTATCTACTTCAACACAGGGTCAAGTGAGGCAGAAGATATCCTCGGGAGGCAAGTACGTTTCAGTAAATATTGGACCCATTCATGTTGTTTCTAGTGAACAGGTAAAATGAATTCCCTTATACGTGTGCCAGAAATGCTCTTTTGATCGAAAACTTAGGCAACATTTTCTTCAAAATGGATGTGGCAATACCAAAAGGCTGTCATTTTTTTTTTTTTTGGAAATACTCGTGATTTTTTTACAAGGTAGTATATGTTCTATACTCTCTCAATATTTTCCAGCCCAAAGAATCAATCCCCCCACCACCGGGGTTCGATCCTGTTACCGCCCTCTGGGAATGGTAACAGAGTAGTTGGCAAAAAAAAAAGATGTCATTCTGGTGGGGCATTTTGACAATGTAATTTCGCTGTGGTTTTTCAGGTTCAAGCCGTTTACAATGCCATGAGAAGAGACGACCGGATGAAATACTTTTTGTAAATCAGGTGGTTGGTTTACTCACATTGTATAGGGCACACAATTAGATGGGGCATTCCCCTAACATGATCTGCTATTTATTGTTCAGATTTAATGCCTTTTTAGTTTACTTTTAAACCAGCCTTAACCTTTGTTTGGAAATATGTCATTTTGAATTCCCATGAGGGGTGGGTTCAGTATCTCTATGACTCTATCTGTTCAAATATCAATGTGCCAACAGCAATTGGTGTATAATTTTTTTGGTTTTGTTTTTCAAGTGTAATGAATATTTACTTTTAAGTATGATGAAGATTATAATAATTATTATAATGAATATTTATGATTTTGGTATTCTACTGATGGTGAGTTTGGATTCTATATAAAACCAGTATCAATTCCAGACTTTGCTCTAGTAACTAGTAAGTGTCTAATTCGGTGCTTAATGTGTCTATAGATGGAAAAATGAGTGTGTTTCCTATGAGACTGTATGATGGGTCCTTATTTGTGAGTTATGATGGAAATTTAATATTGATGTTGGAAAATGTAATATTAATCATGAATAAATTATTGAGAAAATGACACTTTTTCTCTTTGAATTATATGTTTCTTCCTGAATTATTTATGTATCCACATTTCCTTTCTCAATTATTTTAAAGGTCACATTTTTCCTTTTTATATTAAATGGACATTTTACTCTTAAAAGTATTTCATTTTTTTTCAACAAATTACTGCTTACCACTATTCAATTTGAACCGAAACCGTAAAGACGCCTCTGGTAGCAAAGGTTACAATTGTACTACCAAAAAAATATTTCAAGACAAAATGAGGCATAAAATTTATTATTTTTTGTTGAATTATTTTTCGTAATTGCTCCAAACAATTTTTAGAATTTATAGAACAATCATGGCTTTTTGGCTTGGATTATTAGAGAACAATAATCTTCACCAACATTAGAATATAGGAAAATGAGTAATTCGATTTAGTCACAAAATAATATATATATATATATATATATATATATATATATATATATATATATATATATATATATATATATATAGAGGCTCTGGATCCTATGACGTCACTTAGATGGATGAGATCATGAGATCTCATCTCATCCATTAAATCTTTACAAATAGAAGGTTGAGATTGAAAGAGATTTGTTAAGCATTTAAGGTAGTAGTCTAGGCATAAGGGTGAATAAGTAAATGTAATATTGGATCTATTTTTGAATCCAAATTAATTGGAACTTATTCCATGTGAACGACCATTGATTGTGTGATTAGAATAGATATTAACGGTAATAAATATTATTAATACTGTGTTGAGAGTTGAAGTAAACTAATCGCTACGCAGATACCAAGTGAAGCCGTTGATGTGCCCGGCCACGGTGATGGCGTATACGGATAGAGGTAAGTGCAACCGCACTAGTTTTGCTTTGTAGGATGTTTTTATGTCTGTGCAACGATTAAGTCGAGTTAGTGCATTCTTGAGTCATGGTGTGTGCCGTTGTTGTTTGTTTAATACGTGCATGTCGACGGAGTTTTATTGAATTTGCATTACGTTAAGTATGAATACCATGGGTTTCAAAATATTGATAACACATGTAGGGGTGTGCAAACTTCGGATAATTTTGGGTTAACCGACCGAACCGACAAAGTTCGGTTAATCGTTTTCGAACCGAACTTTTTCGGTTCGGTTAATGGTTAAAGGAATTTTAAAACTTCGGTTAACAGTTAATTCGGTTCGAAAGGTCGGTTAACTGAAGTTTTTAATATATATATATATATATATATATAATATAAATACTAATTTGAAGTTATGGATGTTTGGAGTTTATAATTTATGTCTTTTATATTTTGTTATGAATTTATTATGATATGTATTTTATTCTAATTAGATTTATTATTTTAGGTGTTATTTTTAGAATTTTAAATTTTAGCTTTAAAAAGTTCGGTTAATCAGTTAACTGAAAAAAATTTCGGTTCGGTGAATTCGGTAGAGAAAACTTCGGTTCGGTTAACGGTTAAAGGAAAAAACACTTCGGTTAAAACGGTTCGGTTAACCGATTGAACACGTCAAAACACATGGGGACAGTGTGTTTTTAGATGAAATGTGAATGGGCCTTAATTTTGTTCTTCTTAGCGGAGATAGTGCAGAGTTTTGTATTCCTGGGGAAAAAGTGAAAATAGGGGGGGTGTATAATGTTGCTGGAGTTGTCGACTAGTGTGTGCAAGTTCGTAATATGCCTGTGCAGTCTGTCTGCAAGATTGAGGTTGGCCCTGAGAGTGAGTCACTTAGCGTGTGCAAGTTAGTCGCATAGGATGTGGAAGTTATTTCCATGCCCTGTGCAAATTAGACATTCAGATTGTGCAAGGTAGTATGTGTGCCTGTGCAAGTTAGGACACAACAGAAGTAAAATGCGGCCATATTAATTTCCAGTAATGTTGGTAGGTTTGTGAAAGTTAATAAAAGTTAGTGCATGTGTATCGACTTTCCTAAGGTATCATATTTACATGATATGGTGTTACACGAGACAATTTATTTAAACCAATCCTATTAACAAACCAACCGAAGATTAATTTGTGTGTTGATTAAATGATGCCATGAGCTTTAATCTGTATTTGAATACTAATAATATGTTACAGGTGTGTGCGAACCCAGTGGTGAAAAGGAAGAAGAAAAAGAGTGCGGTATGGATATTAGTCCTGGAGGAACTAAATATTGGTTTACGGAATGCGAACCAAGCTTGAAACCATATGAAGGGCAGCATTTTAATACAGTGGAAGATGGAATTGAATTCTATACGAAATATGCTGCAATAACTGGGTTTGATGTGCGTCGAAGTTCGGATAAAAATAACAAGTTCGGAACTGTTTTGAAAAAAGATGTGGTGTGTTCACGGCAAGGGTTTAAGGAGACTAGGGGCAAAAAAACATTGGGTAAGGAAGGGACTATGGAAAATAAATGGCGTCGAACCACTAATAGAGTTGGATGCGTCGTTAGGATTGTATTCAAGCTGGACAGTGAGGGGAGATATAAAGTACACAAATTCGAGGAAAGACACACACTGTCTGTGCGAGGAAAGCTTCAAACCATTCATGAAAGTCAATCGGAAATTGGACATCGGACACCAACAATTCATTACAAACTGTGGAAGAGCGAACGTCGGTGCAAGCAAGAGTTTCGACATATATTCGGAAATGGTAGGTGGGCCCGAGAACGTGGGTGCGACGCAGCAGGATTTTAAGAATTACAGAAGAGAGCTGTTAGCGTACATGAAATGGGGAGATGTGCAAATGGTAATTTCTAATTATCTTGAACAGAAAGCAGAGTGCACAGACATGTACTTTGAATACGATGTGAACGCAAATGATCAGTTAGCTCGTGTGTTTTGGGCAGATGGTATGGCAAGAAAAAACTACGGTGCGTTTGGCAATGTGGTATCCTTCAATGCTACGTACAAAACGAACAGGTATGAGAGAATTAAATGCATGAGTGTGAGACAATAGATAGTAGTGGGGTATAATACGGTTACTTTTGTGTGTTTGATATACTGTACATAAAGACTAGAATGTGCATGTAATGGTTCACGTAGGTGCGTGTAGATGTAAACAATGTTATGGAAGTAACATGTTTCGTAGGGAAATGGTGTAGATTAGTGGGTATGTGCGTGTGTAATGCGTAGTATGTGCTAGCATTCTTGATTAGAAGATATGTGCATGAATAATGTGTAGTATGTGCTGACCTCTAAGTGGAAGGATTGTGCGTGTGAAATGTGTAGACTGTGCATGCTTTAGAGACGTGTGTGCAAGTACACGTATGGTTAATGTGGGTTAATATATGTCACCCTATTAATTGCTTGGTATTGGGTACAGGTACAACCTTGTGTTCGTCCCATTCACAGGGGTGGACAACCACAAAAGATGTGTGACATTTGCAGCAGGCCTTCTTGATAAGGAGGACGTGGAGTCGTACAGTTGGATACTAGCCCACTTCAAGAATGCAATGGGAAGTGCACCACCTCTAATAATAACCGATCAAGACCCGGCTATGAAGAATGCAATTGCAGATGTGTTTGCGGGGAGTCGCCACCGTTACTACATGTGGCACATCATGACTAAGGTTGGTGAGAAAGTGGGAACTAAGATGGCCAAGAATGAAGAGTTTCGGCGTGCATTGAATGTGTTGTGTGGAACGAGAAATCAACAACAGCGGAATTCGAGAGTGGGTGGAATACTGTGGTTGAAAAATACGGCCTACTCGAAAATCGATGGCTAAAACGTATGTATGAAGAGCATGCGTCATGAGTGCCCGCATTTTTTGATGATGCGTTTATTGGAGGGCTACTACGTACAACTTCCCGTTCAGAAGCGGAGAATAGGATTTTCCAAAGCAACATGAACAAGCACTTATGCCTCATTGAATTTTTCAACCAATTTGAGCGTGCGGTTCGAAAACAACAAAATACTCATCAAGAACTTAGCGCAGCTTGCAGCAGACAGACGCCGTCTTTTGAGACACACCTAAGCATTGAGCGCTCAGCAGCGGTGGTTTACACCCTGACTGTTTTTTACGATGTTCAAAAGGAAATTAGTGCCGGGTGTTTTAAATGTCGAGTGCGAGCATATACCGAGGCAGAGGGGGTGAAGAAATATGTGGTTGAGGATGAAAAGGAGCAACGATAGACAGTTATAGTCCAAGATTGGGAGCAAAAACATAGCATACACATGCAGAATGTATACAAGAATTGGTCTCCTTTGTAGTCATGCTTTTGTGGTACTAAAAGATGAACGGATCGCTGACATTCCCCCACAACATAACACACCCCGGTGGACACGAGAAGCAATAAAGCACTCCCCCACTGATACGAATGGAGACAGACAAAAAGGAAACCATACTTTGACTCACGGCAACAATGAGAAAGGACAACTACTAAACATATTTCATAGATGTTTGGGCAAGGCGAGCTAGAGCCGGAAAACTGAAAGAGATGAGATAGTGGATGGAAGAGTTTGAAGCGACGTTCGGTGAGGACGAAGAACAAGGGGTGAATGATAATGGGAAGCGTGCAATTATGGAATCGTATTGCGGTGTTCCAGCGCCGGACACAATTGAAGTGCACCCACCTCAAGTTGCAAAAAACAAAGGGTCTGGCAAACGAATGAAATCAGCAAGGGAGGTAGCAATGATAGAGCAGGTTAAGAAAAAGCATACATGCAAAACATGCGGAATGGCAGACGGCAATAATAGCCGAAGTTGCCCTTGAAAGTAGATATCACACTAGTTTCTTAATATTTATTACCCCAGAATAGTTTTGATTTTAATAATGGTGGCTGTGTGCGTCTGAG